TCGCAACAGAAATGTAGCAGAAAATACATGAAACGCGTATTAACCGTGTGGAGCAAACTACGTTAATTAAGAAGTACATCAATTATTAAAATATATAATTTAAAGAGACCCTCAGTTTGGTCTTTTTCTCTTTTGGTCAAGCACATGACCATCTCAAAAACATATATTTTTTCTCTCTTTAAACTTAATAAAGAACGTTTATCCCTGCTGGAGCAGTGGCTGGGCCTCTCTAAAACAGCCACGATTTCTTCTCTGCTTACGATGTGGCATCGCAGTGCCCAGGGCCAAACGCTTGAAGCTCTGGGGCTCTTTAGTGGCTGCCAAAAGACTGACTTCTGGCAAGGTGAGTCTTCAAAGGCCCTGGGGGAAGAGGAAACCTTCTCAGCTGCTGGGCCAGGTGCCGTCCTTCCTTGGTTCTTCCCTGGCTGCCAGCTTCAAAAAGCACATCATCCCTTAATTAAGAAAATGCCAGAAATAAACTAAGCATAAAGCTAAAAGCTATAAACCACCTTTTCCTTAAACAAACAAACAGAAGGACAAAAAGAGAGAGAGAGAGAGAGAGAGAGAAAAGGATTCAGCAAGTTCTCCTTAGAAATATTGCTATAGAAATATTGATTTTCTTACTCAACTCAATTGACTGAAAAGTTGTTTGTATGGCAATATTGGCCCAGGCAATCCGCTGGAACGATTTTGCTGCACAGAGTAATCAAGTGCATTTCTGAAGTATAATTATATTGTCATAAAAACGAAGCCAAGATAACCTTCTCTTTGAGCAATAAACCTGCAGCGGCAGTAAAAACCGTAGGAGAGACACAGATAGCCAGATAGATTCCGTGATAGGGTGTCTTCCGAGGAGGCCAGCCCACACGAGCTGCTCTTCCCTTAAGCTACGGTTAGCACGAAAGTGATCAATACCTCAATCTCCATAAACTATTTCAATAATAGTTAGTTCACCTGGAAACAGAAACCGAATGTTTCTGCTCAGCGACCTGAGACTGCCTCCTTGTTGGTTGAACGCAAGTAATATTTCATTGCCATAATGGATACGACTCAGCCCGGGGTTTTAGCAGGAGGCAGACAAACACACATTCTTCAGTTACAAATCAATATATGCTACACACCTTTCAAAAAAAAAAAAGAAAAAAGAAAGGCCCAGGATGTGGGATGCTGGCGGTCAAAAAAATACAAAACGCGTCACCAGGAGCAGTTATAATTAATTTATTTGACAAAACAATCATCAATTCTCTCCGGCGAAGGACCCACAGCTGCAGCGGCCGCTAACCAAAACCAAGCCAATCTACCTGTAAGCAGAGCTTCAGTTCAGCTGTGCCTGCAACAGAGATGGCTTCTCCTCAATGTGCCAGGAACATAGCGATTATTTCCAACGAGCTGGATCCCCGTGCTTCGCTACGAAACTATGTGGTCGGGCTTAGTTTTTGGGAAGGAAAATAAGGAGAAAAAAATTCTGCCTCTGCCTACCAGCATCCATCGGTATTCATCTGGCTAGCATCCTGTCAGTGTGTGAGAGAGTTGAGGGGTGTCTGGAAACTGAAAGAGTATTTGCTGTGTGAGCAAGGAGACAGCAAGGAGCCTGGGCGTGACTTAGCTCAACTGTTCTGTACTAAAGCTGTTTGGAGCTGTGAACTGAAACTGAAATTCCTCTCCTTCTGTTTTGCATTTGGAAGAGATTTCTTTTCAGGTGGGGAGGGGGAGTAGAACACCTTAGCATCAGAGTGTGTTAATAATAATAATATAGGAATATAGGAAATACTAATGCTCTGATGGTCATTTTGAAAAATCCTTCCTCAGTGAGCACCTAGAAGCCAAGAGGAAGATATGGGCCAAATTTCCAGTTTGTAGGCTTTACGGATTCTTAAGTTTTCGCGGGTACTTACATGCATGGTATTCAGCTTTGTTCAGGTATTTTCCCACGTCATTATAGTTGTGCTTTTAAAGTTGTAGCAACGTTTCGGCAGAATCTCATCAGCCATCATCAGGCTTCTGTATTGTGTTCGTCTGACCAAGACTCCCAACCAATCAGGATGAAGAGAAAACCATTCTGGCACAGCAGTAGGCTAGCCCCAAATTTAAAACTGAAACGGCTGTGAAAGTCTGACTCACAGACGAACACTATACAGAAGCCTGATGATGGCAGTTGAGATTCTGCCGAAACGTTGCTACAACTTTAAAAGCACAACTATGATGACGTGGAAAAATACCCGAACAAAGCTGAATACCATACATGTGAGTACCCACGAAAACTTAAGAATATATATATATATATTCTTTGCATTACATATTCTATATATATAATTATTTGCATTACACAGCGGTGAGGGGGACAATGAAAACGGCAAGAGAGCCGGTCAATGCACCCTGAAAGCTGGAGGCCAGTGCATGACTTCTGACCAGTTAGCCAAGGCTACCTGTATGAGCCAGGACCTGTTTGCTTTCTTGGTCCAGAAAGGCCCACCAGGTTTACAGCCACACTAACCCATATGGATGATCTTAGGAGTGCAAATTTGTACATGCTTGAGGTTGCCACGCCAGTGGAGGCTACAAAAACTAGATAATTTCATGAAAAATGCGCTTTTTTCGAAAGGCAACTAGACTTTCTTTGTCCTGGCTGGAGAATTCTGGGAATTAAAGTCCGCAAGTCTTAAAGGTGCCAAGTTTGGAAACCCCTGCTATAAATCTTAGTATGAGGAATCCTTGGTGCTCTCTGAGCTTGGTGGTTTTCTTGCAGATGTTTCATTACCCAAACTAGGCCACATCATCAGTGCTAATCATAAAATCTAAATACATTAAAATTAATAGAAGTTGGTGCATTGGTTAGAATGCAGTACTGCAGGCTACTTCTGCTGACTGCTGACTGCCAGCAGTTCGGAGTTCGAGTTTCACCAGCTCAAGGTTGATTCAGCCTTCCACGCTTCCAAGAATGAGGACCCAGATTGTCGGGGGCCATAGGCTGACTCTGTAAACCGCTTAGAGAGGGCTGGAAAGCACTGTGAAGCGGTATATAAGTCTAAGTGCTATTGCTATTTATGTAGTGCAGTCATTTGGGCAATTGGCTAAGAGAGTTTGTGGCACAACAGGAAGGATGTGCCTGTATCTTTGAGTGGGGACAAGTCTATACAACAAAGTTGGGCGAGGCAGAAGCAGAAAGGCCACCAACGCAGATATAAACATAAAAAATGCATTAACTCTCAAGACCAGTGGGGAGCAGTGAACGTATCTCTTGCTCTCAAAAGTCTGCAAATAGCTATAGAATAATTTCCCTGTCCTGAAGACATACCCCAAATTCCTCTCTTTCCTCTCTGGAAATTTTCCCCCACCTGCCACTCGAAGACTCCTGTTGTGATGGGTCAAGCCAAGAACAAGAGGGCAAATGCATCTGGAGGGAGCAGACCTAGCCGTTTCCATCGAAAAGCTGGAAATCCAGATCCTTACTGACTAACCGGAGAAATGTCCCGTTGGAACGAGACAGCTCCCGGAAAGAACAACAATGTGTAGTTACATGAAGTTTACCAACCGCTTTTAGCATCTGATCGGAAGAAAGGCGGCAGCTTACATCGCGTCGCCACAGCTGAATCAGATAATCCGTAACAACTTCATTAGGAACAAACTTCCCGGGATATTAATTGACTCGCATAAATGGCAGGATTCTCAAAAGGCTCTCGCAATTCCCGTAATGGTAACGGAAGCTCATGCAGATCCACCACAATTAGTCTTTGTCATCTAATTCCAAGGAAGCTGTCAATACAGCGGAACATTGCCTGGCCTGGCTAATGGTCCGGGCGAAGGTGAGCAAGCTGAAATTAAATCTGGACAAGACAAAGGGGCTGTTTCTTGATCAATGGGAAATCAGGGTGAGCTATCGGGAACGAAGCGGCTCCTAAGGTTTGCAGCTTGCGGGCGTCCTTGGATCCCGCCCTGTTCCTAGCTTTCCCGGGGCCACGGTGGCAGGGCAGCATATTTGAACATTATGGTTCATATATCACCCATTGACTCTTCTTGAGTCAATCAGCCTAACTAGGGTTGCCTGCGAGTTCGTAATATCCTATTAGGCTACTCCAATGTTGTTTCATCTGGGGCTGCTGTTGAAGAACACCTGGAAATCTAAAGGAGGATGTGTCTGCCAAGCTTGTGTAACGCCCACAAAACAGAAAAGGCTTAGAGTTAGTAAGTGTCAATCCTATGTGGCTGAAATGAGTCCCCAGCTATCTAGCATGAGAAAACAGGGCTAGGTGCTAATAACAGTTGGACTAAACCAACTATTCATCTACCTCAACAACCATCTACCAATAAAAACAAAGAGAATAGCTATAATTTTGCTATCATGTTGGCATGCCCTCCTACACGCAAATAGTGGCACATCAAAACAGCGTTGTCTTTTTCTGGTATCAGACACAGAATTATTCTCCGTGTTTGCCCATAATCTTTGCTAAATAGCCATTACAATTATTCCTGGCAAAGGTGTCCACAAATGGATTGAGTCTTACATGCTTGTTATCATATTTTCCATACATATTGTCATTTAGAAAGTATTTTTCCCTTTTGAAAATATTGATCGTCACAGTCTTTGTTGGTTGCGAGAGAGCCTGTAACCCTGTTATAAATTTTAGTCTAAATCTATACAAAACATCCTAGAAAAAAAAGGGTATTCCATCTTCTTCATTTAAAATAAAAAGTTTATCCATTTGGAAAACAGCAATTTTAGCCCACAATGGCAATTTTCTTTGACATTGGACTAAGATTTAACTAAGATTCAGATACTGTCAACCCAAAGGGTGTATGAAAAGCTAATTCTCTCTAGACCTAATTTAGCTATGAAGGCAGCTCAAGCAAACATTAAAGATCATTGGCATTTCATAAAAGGGGGGTGGGGGGGAAGGCCAGCCACCTTGTGACATAATTTGGGGGAAAGGAAATTGTCTCTTCCTTTTCTTTTCCCCCAAAGTTGGAGCGAAGGGGAAGAGGAGAGAGAGAGGGACACTCACTTGTAAACGGTCCCTCCGTTGCCGTGCCCAAGGATGTCTCGATACCGTATGTCTTGTTCATTCATCTCCACCAGGAAGAAAGAAAAACAAAAGAGATGTCAGGCTGGGATGCAAGTGTCAAGGAGAAGCCACTCTCGGCCATAAACAACCCGCCGTCTGGGTCATTTCAAGTTCAGCTGCAAGAACGAGGAGATCAATACAACATTTGCTGTCCAATTTATAAAAGACAATACCAGGGGACAAAGTGATGGAAAGTTTAATGACAATTTGTTTGCCTGGGTCATTTCATTAAAGTTTGATAAAAGGTGTCAAAATGGAATGATAACATAGCTCAAGAGGAGCAGGGCACCGACCTGGAGGGGAGCGGAAGGCTCTGGAGCTCAGACGCGGCATCACCAAGGCCCGGGCCGGGCGGGGACCGGATAGCCCCTCAGCCAACGCTCTGACCTAGAAGCAGCCACGGACGAGCTCCTGACACCTGACAGGTTTTTTGCTCTGAAGCTAGACAAGAGCCACAAGAACACGCTGCTCGAATGGCCCAGGAAGGATGGATGGCTCACACCACTCACTTAGCAGGGAAGCACTCAGTTCTCAGTGCACACGCACTCTCGGTGTGCAGCCATTTTCCTTCCCCACGGGCAAAGTCCGGCAGATAAAGCCACCAGCCCAATTACGCTGGTACAACAACCCGAAGGTCAAAATTAGTACCTTGAATTAAATGCTGCGCTATGGACCCCTTGACTCCAAAACCATGTTCAGGAGAGAAGGAGACCCTCCCATTTAGTGAATACAGCTGATATAGGTTTATCGAATCATACGGTTACTTAACATTTCCTGTTTCCCATATATGGACGTTATGTAATGTTTTCCTAAGGAAGTTCCAACCTTCCATGGACAACTCCCAACATTCCCATTATAGTCAGATTTCCTGTTATTCAAATACCAGAAGATTATAAGAAAACCATTAATACCTCTTAATGTGATTTATAATGTCAGAGCGCCCCAGCACGTACCTCTAACTTATGCCAAGTACATAGTTTTGCAATCTTGTATTTTTTTCTAGCAGAAAACACATTTCATAACTGTTCTGAGCTTTAAAAGTTCAGATTGCGAACACAAAATGGCTTCAGTTCGGCTCTTTATATTCTCAGGTATAATAACCAAATTTTCACCTATGACATTTAAGGGGTCCCCAACCTTGGCAACTTTAAGCCTGGTGGACTTCAACTCCCAGAATTCCCCAGTTGAAGTTTGCCAGGCTTAATTCTGGGAGTTGAAGTCCACCAGGCTTAAAGTTGCCAAGCTTGGAGATCCCTGGTTTAGAAGGTAACAAGGGGTCAATTTGGCAATCAGCTCTCGGCGAACGTAAAGCCCCCTCATGAAAAACCAAACTCTCCGCCATGAATTTTCCTGAGTTAAAAAAAAAAGCTTTGGTCGAAATATGATGTGAGGAACAAATCATGTGCCAGAACGATGATAAAAAGTAATCTACTGGAGGGCTATAAAAAGGCCCGTTTTAAAATGCCTTTTGCTGCACTTCAATGCAATGATTATATAACCAGGGGAATATTTCTCTCAGGTCTAAAACTTGGGGCAATCTGTGATTGTTAGAAGCGCAATGCCACAAAAATGGCCATTTATTTTGCGTATTTAGTTTGTTGCAGTAAACTTATAGTTTCGAAATTAATTGACGGACAGCAAACACTCACAAATGAAAACAAACGTTTGTACAACAGGGGGTTGTTTTCTAAATGATTTTTCCCCTTTCAAGAAAACAGGCCAAAAAGTAAAGGCCGACCAGTCCACCATTACACATTTTACAAAATACTGTTTTTAGAAGACAGGCCAAGAAAGCTTTTCTCAATTTAGGACCCAAGAAAAACCTTCTCTAACGTGATGCCTTCCAGAAGTTTCGGGACTGCCATTCACTTAAATGCCAACCAGCATTTTGAACTTAAAAAGCTGCTTCTCCGAAGGCTTTCCAGGGATCTTTCTGCTCCACGGGTCAGAAGAACGGCACACAACGATCCAGATTAAAAGAAGTGAGGGACACCATCCTTAATGTATTTTCCCTCAAGAAGCAAGGAACTCCATATACGAAAACAAAAAAAAAACCATTAGTTTTTGGTAGTCTCAAGAAAGGCTCTCGGGAGAAAAAAGGGTCACAAAAGAAAAGGTAGAAGTAAATAAAATGTAAAGTAGATGAAGAGTGAAAACACAATGAATGCAAGAAAAGAAATCCTGAATTATAACATCTTAGAAGACAGATTCATCTCCCAACAGAATAAATGGAGAGTGGACAGACATCAAGGAAGGATGTGAAAACAGATTGAAAAGAATTGTGTTATAAAGGGTTACAGATGTGTATGAGTATTTTTCCAAAAGGAAAAATGGATTGATTTTAACCTCTTAATTCTTAATGCTGAAGTTTTTTCATTTTTTAATGTTGTGATTGTTTTATATTGTTGTAAGCTGTCCAATCGCTTGACAGTGATGGATGGATGGGTGGATGGATGAAGGAATGAATAGCAACAGCACTTAAGATTTATATACCTCTCCATAACTCTCTAAGGGGTCTAGAGTTAGCCTCTTGCCCCCAACAATCTGGGTCCTCATTTTATCGACCTCAGAAGGCTGAGTCAACCTTGAGCCGGTCAGGATCGAACTCCTGGCAGTGGGTAGAGTCAGACTGCGATGCTGCATTCCAACTACTCTGCCACCATGCATATTCATAATAAAATAATGAATATAAGGTTGTGGAGAAGAGGGAGAAAGGAAATGAAGGGATATGTAAAAACTGACATTGGGCAGAACTCCATTGCAACATGGATTTCCAGATCTCCTCTGCAAAAGTCAGGCTTAACCCACCACCGCCCCTTGATTTATGTATTTATGGATATATTTCTAAAGTATGGTCGTGGTGACAGTGGATGTGTTTGGGGTCACAAAGGTTCGTGTATTTTTTTTATGTTGATGATGCTGTGTTGTTAACTAAGAACCCAACTATTATTTGCAGCAAACGTTAGATTGTATCATGGGACAAGAAGTATGGATTTGAAAATCGACATTTTTATTGCGCTTCTCTACACTCTTGTCTCGAGTCTCAGCATCTTTTCTGTATGTTAGCAGGTGTGTCCAATATCCAGGGAAGAAAGTTCTGGAGCTTTTTGGGGAAGATCTAGCAGGGGAGAACAGCTATTATATAACCTTGACCGAAATCAATACGCTTCTATTGGGGATGACATTCCGCCAAGCGTGCAGGTTTGGGAAGGCCACCAATGGATTGGCGAGGGAGGAAGGAGACACTGACCAGTCAACCAGATTGCCTGAATCAACCCTGGTGATCCAAAAGAGACTTCTCAGCAGGCTTGACGGGGCCAATACATGTGTATTCTGCCTCTTGTAAAAATGCCCTGAAATCTGCTGTTTCTCAGGACTTCTATTATCCTCTCTGCTTGCAGGAGAGAAAACTGAGGCAGCGGAATGAGAATGTCTCGATTATCCTACTCCAGATATACCCTTGCTCAATTCTGGGATGTGCCAGTTCAGCTCAAGTTGTGCATAACAGAAGCAGTGAGTTCACAGAGGCCAGCAAAGCGTTGGAACTCTGTATTTTTAAAAACCGAGGTTGTGAATTTGAGAATAAAATTCTCTTTTCTGAATTGTTTAGAGCCATTCGGGGCGATTACAATTGCCTGAAAAGCAGGATAAAGCCACGCTAAACAAGTAAGAAAACTTCATAAACCCAGAGAGAGAAATGTCACGGATCCCTAGCAATTTATTTATTGTGTTGGAGAATCTGAAGGCATCAATCAAATCCTAACAACTACCAACTCTGCAGCAAGCACCAGTCCATTATTTTTTCTTATGCAATCTTTGATCGGACACTGAGAGTAACAGAATGAACCGAAAGTGAAATAGTATCCAATTATGGATCGGCAAATAAAATAGTCTTTGTTTATATCTGCTGTCTTGGAAAGAATCAGCATGCATCTCTTATAAATCATTAGAAAAAATGCTCAATTAATCCTTATTTGATATATACAGCTACGGCAGGTGCCTCGCCCCGTATGGGCTCTCTCCCCTGAACCAATCAAAGTCCTAATGGCTCCAGAGAGCAGACATAGTCTATGAACAGACAATTGGAGAGATTTAGTAAATCCCACTTCATAGAGCAGGGACTAATCGGAAAACATGAGCCAGTCAAATGTTTCTTATGAACTGTTGACACTACGTCAATGCTCAATCAATTGGCGGCATTTTCTCTGAGTGACAGAAAAGAAATAAATATTTATATCACATAACCTATATCAATGAACCTCGGCAGAAAGCTATTTCTAACCTGTCAATATTTGATTATCTTGAAGAATCATGTCCCCTTTCTGTTAATGATTAATATGAATTTTTTTATTAAACCTAAGTGAAGGCTTTCGGGGCAACTAAAGTCTTTATTAATGCTTTAAAACAGAAGGCAGGGAACCCCTTCTCTCGTAGGCAGGGTTTCTCCTCTGGTTTTCAGATGGGTGGGCTTCAACTCCCAGGCTATGCTGGCTGGGGAATTCTGGGAGTTGAAGCCCACCCACCTGAAAAATCACCAAGGGAGAGGAACGCTGCCTACGAGAGAATGGGCTTCACAATTTAACCCTCTCCTCCACACCGGTCCTCCTATGTTAGGCAGGTTCTCACCCACATCAACTGGGCAGGATAGGACCAGCCTGGATCAGGCCCAGATGTGCCCACCCCTCACAATTCAAAGCTCAGTTTGTTCCTGGTACAAGGTAGAGGCCCCAGTCCTCTCCATGGGAAAGGCCAATGTTGTTGGTTCGCCGGCAGCCTGTGCAGACGGCAGCGGAATTGACCGTGGGGAAGAACGGGGACCAGTCTGGGGAGGACTCAAGACGAGAGTCTTGCGTCCGATGCAGAGAAGGGGCCAGGACCATCTGGGAGTGGGGTGCTGACTCCGGAGCCTTTGGAGTCTGGCAGCAGCGAGGCAGAGGACCAAGGGGAGCCTGTTCCCAGGGTGCGTGTGCGCAGAGCTGCTAGAAGGCAAGAGCAGCTGAAACAAAAGGGGCGACTCGGAAGTAAAGCTTGGAAGTGATTGCCCCTCCCCTAAGGGATAAAGGACAGGCAAAGGTAGAGAAACCTTTGCAGGAAGCAAAGTCATTCGCTCTGTTCAGATTAAACCTTGAAGCTCCGTGTGGACTTTGTACTTCGGTTGGTTTTTTTATAATTCATTTGGCACTCTAGCTGTTGGCAGAAATTCAAAGGAGAGAAAGGTGGGTGCTTATCTCGAGGGACTGTTTGGGACTCAATACGGGCTGGGAATGCACATAATTCCCAGCGTTGAAATAAAAAAAGAGTTGTTTGGACTAAGCGTGTGCTGAATTACGGTCTCAGGAAGCCTTGGTCAGAACAAACAAGGTGTTGACGCTAGTGCCTCTTTGCCACCTTCTGCAGGTGGAATTCTTTCAACCTGAGCTCTGCTCAGAGCTTCTTGGGCACGAGAAGAACGTGGTTCTCTTCCAGCGCTTCGTCTGCGAGGCTGCCTGCCTTCCCAATCTAGGCTCCGTCCTGGGGATTCCCCAGAGATCCTTAGGGCTCACCATTTGCCCAAATGGGGGGGGGGGGGGGGGGGGGGGCTCAACAATGCATTCTGGAATGCCTTCAGAACTGCTACACGTAGTCCTTGACTTACAACAGTTCATTTAGTGACTGTACAAAGTTACAACGACTCTGAAAAGAAGTGACTTGTGACCATTTTTCACTTACGACCGTTGCAGCATCCCCATGGTCACGTGATCAAAACTCAGGTGCTTGACAACTGATTCATAGTTATGACGGTCGCGGTGTCCTGGGGCCACGTGGTCCCCTTTTGCGACCTTCTGACAAGGCTAGTCACTGGGGAAGCCAGATTCATTTAACAACGGTGTTACTCCCTTAACAGTTCCATTGATTCACTTAACAACTCTGGCAGGAAAGCTTGTAAAATGGGGCAAAACTCACTTCACAAATGTCTCCCTGATGGGCGTTGGGCTCAATTGTGGTCATAAGTCGAGGACTGCTTGTACTAAATCCATGCTTTGAATCAAAAAGGCAGCTCTCTGTTCGTGTTTGGATGCCAAGCATTCAGCAACGTCAAAGGAACGCAACTTGAATCCCAGCACAATTTGGAAACTAAATCAGTCTCCCAACTGAAGTAAACCTCCCTATATCCTTCAGTGCAATTCCGTCGTAACAGGCACCCCAAACCTTCCTGAAGAAATCATTTCCCTTCCCGAGTGAAAACCTCCTTACCTCACTCAAGCATACTTGAAAACCCGCTATTTCGCAAGACGAGGCTTTCAAGAAAAAATAAAGTCTAATAATATTTCATTCCCTCCTCTATCCTTGAAATATCACCTTTACCGCAGACAAGCAGCTGCTGAAGATTAAATAAAGTGCAGGGAATGAGGAGGGGAAAAGGCAGCACAAAGGATTTAAGAACTTTCCGTTGTCTATCCTTCAAGGTAAGACGACGCTTAAAAAGGAAGAGCCAAAATCCATATTCCGAAGTTTTATTTAAAGGCTGCTGGCTGCAAATAACGCAGCCCTCCGCGGAGCGAGGCTGGCAGGACTGTCCCCCTCCATTAAGAGAGCAGCCTTACAGGTGATCGGCTGAAGGACACGCCTGAAGACCAGCTTTCGTCTTCTTGACACGTTCAACTACCACTACTTGATTCATGAAATGCCACGGAGGCCGGGGGAGGTCAGTTGTTGTGAAGGCATTGAATACGCATCCGAGATAATTAAGATTTCAGCCTTCGCAACACGGAAGGGAAGTGAACAGCAGTTAAGAAAATCAATAAGAGTCTTTTATTCGCGGTGACACAGATGTCTCAGTCAATAGTGTCTAATAGGCAGGCTTGATCGGCGTGGACAGGGGCTGCCTCCAAGGCTATCAAAGGGTTTCGCCGTGACAAAACATTAAAACTTATTTATGTGGCTAGGGAAGAATCCCGCAGCCTTGAGGTGTTTTCATTTCGCGGGAGTATATTTAAAGCCATTATGCAATTGGGGAACGTCCTGTTTGAATCCGAGTGGCCAGGAAGGGCCGGCCTGTCCTCTCCTCTCGCCTGTCGTCAGAGCAGCTTTTTACGGGATTTTTTCCCCCCGCTTCTTCTACAGACTTTCAAGGGAGACACCCCGTTTGCTACTGGCTCTTGGGTGGCAGGGGCGTCCGAGCCCATCTGCAAGCAGCCAGCGGAGCACAAACCCCCGTTTTGCTATTCAAAATTGATTACGCTTTCTCCCCCTAAATTGAGGCAACCGAACGGCGGGCGCGAAAGGCACTTCAATCTATTTGGAGCTAAATCTGATTAGTGCGTTTTGAAAAAAGGGGAAGTAAATTGGCGTGCCAATCCAAATCAATCAGGACAGGAGCTCTTCCACAGCGCGAGCTCTTTTGCCTGCCTTCGCCTCTACTTTATTAAAAGAACACATTACCAGTAAGTGAGCAGTAAACATCTCTGGGGTGATTTGAGCACCTAAGGCACATCTGAATTCAGGCAGACGTCCGTCGTGCCTGCAGCCAGCCCCACGCCAATATGCCTACCTGGCCGTTTGCTAGTATTTTCTTCAGCTCAGCGGAGGACTTCTTCAGGCTGCGGCGTTTGGAAGAACAAAGGTAAAAAGGGGAAGGAGAGAGAAGAAAAAGAAAGGTCATTGTCCACCTGCCCTTTACGGAGGGGAGCTACTACCTGCCCTTTGCTAAGGAACACCTCGCTGCTGATTGGGACATTCCGCCCAGGATTACAAGTGGGTAGACTACACACTGGTGTAATTAGAATTACGTGTGTCTAAAGCACCCCACACATTTTGTTTCATTTATAGTCTCCTTAAAATGCTGGCAATTGGCAAACGAATTTCATTGGCGAAGTTAATGGTTCCCCAAGCAAACTAAAAAGAACTCGGGAAGGTTGCAGACAGTTCAAAGGCTGAGGCCCTCATGCAGAATAACAGAATTGGAAGGGGCCTTGGAGGTCTTCTAGTCCAACCCCCTGCTCAAATGGAAGACCTTAAACTATTCCAGACAAGCGGCTGTCCAGTCTCTTCTTGAAACCTCCCAGTGATGGAGCTGCCACAACTTCTGCTCCACTGGTTAATTATTCTCACCGTTAGGAAATTACTCCTTAGTTATAAGTTGCTTCCCTCTTTGATTTAATTTCCATGGATTGTTTCTTATCTTGCCTTTTGGTACTTTGGAGAATTGATTGTCATCCCCCCACCCACCCCCGTTCGTTGTGGCAGCCCCTCAAATATTGGAACGTTGCTACCATTTCATCCCAGTACTTCTCTGCGCTAGGCCAGACCTTCCCAGTTCCAGCAACCGTTCTCTGTATGTTTTAGCCTCCAGTCACCTAATCATTTTTCTTGGTCTTCTCTGCATCTCTTTCTAGAGTCTCAACATCTTTCTTTATAACATGGGAGAGCAAAACTGGATGCAATCTTTCAAATGCGGCGTTACCGAAGCATTATTAAACAGTACTCAAATGTCTCTTGATCCTTGCCCCTTTGTAACCTGGGAATAGTAGCTGCAATTTGCTATTTCTTGAGAGGATGAGCCTGACTTATTAGCTTCAGATCTTATGCTTCAGCCCAGTTTAGCTTAACCGTCTCCTCTAGGAGGACCTGCGAGAAAAGCCGGCTCATAGCACAATCCAGCAGGCCTTCCTCTGCATGGGCCGTGCCTTAATCAAGTGCCGTTGTGCATGAACGCAAGGGGGTGCTTTTGTGTGTACTCCCTAATAATTTTATCCAAATATGGAGGAGGACATTTTCTGCTGGGTCCATAAAAGTAAAATTCCAACAACCCTTTCTTACTGCTGCCGCAGAAAACTACATCTGAAAAGGAGCCCTTAAAAAAAAAAACCCGATTATGTTCTTGACAGGCTGAAGTGTCTTGATCATCGATCCTGACGGAAATAAAAGAAACTTCTTTGTTCTTTAATAAGCCTCCTCTCTGCTAGAACACTTTAAAAGAAAAAAGTACTTTGCCAAATGAAATGTGCGCTGATCTTGTCATCGCTTGCAACTAGCCGTTTTGTGAACATGAAACAGAGGCAGGCTGTCAGTGACTTCAAAAACAGTCATTCCTTATGCAGATGGCTTTTGGGAATGAAAGCCAATTAATTGCCCCATTAGATGACAGCATCAACTCAAGCCATCGTTGCAGGGCATTTGCAGAATCCGCTCCAAGGGGGTGTATAGCTGAGGAAATAAATGACCACCAAGCAAGGAAACGGGACACGTGCCCTACAAACCGAATTTAAATATCAGATCTGTGATAAGGACAGACAATGCGATCTTTGTATTGAAAGCGCAATGTGAAAATTACTCTGACTCTTCATGATAAGCTGCAGAGATTTTTTTTTATATATATATAAAAATCTATTTCACTGCAGGCCACAATGGCACATATCCACAACACACAAGAGGTCCTCCTAGGTCATAGAGTGTATGCAACTCTATGGGAACCCTTCGTAATGCTAGAGGCCATTTTGGCTCTGTCTAGGGGCAGAGGTTTCCTCCTTCTTGGCAAGATATACCGAAGAGCCTCTCATTTTCAGGGTTTCCGCTTCATTTGTCCCTTCCTGACTCTGTTCTTTTCCCGATTGCTGCTCCTTTCCTTTGGCTAAAGGCCCTGCCTTTATCTTTGCCAAATTCAGTATGCCTCTCATCCTTCCCTTCCGTGGGGAAAGCCATCACGCCCCATTTTCCAGCAAGGGACTGAGCACGGAAACCATGGAACGATAATTAGCTCAGATTTGAAGCAAAGTCTGCCTTAACAAATAATATTCCAAGGAACGTTCTTAGGATCATTTAGAAAGGTCTACGCAGCACTTATAATTTTTATCCTGTTACTTGCAAATGCTTACCTGAGGTATCCTAGTGTTCCCCGTTTACGGAAAGTTGTTAACTTATTTAACAGACAGAAAGTCGGTAACTCTTTACATTAATATTTATATATCTCCCACCTTCATTATTTTTATAAATAACACAGGCAGCAGACATACCGCTATTCTTTTCTCCTCCTATTTACTCTACAACGGCAACCCTATCAAGTGGGCTGTGAGAGAGAAGCCACCCAGCCAGCTTTCATACCCAAGGCACGTTGTCAGCTTGGAAGCCATTTTTCTTTGAAGCTTCTGGGCCGCCACATTCAGTGCCTGGGAATTTGGGACACAGGACTTCAAGGAGCTTTGGAAGATTAGCCACAGCAACATTCCTTTCTCAGAGAGTCAAGGACATGTTACCCTGCACCTGGAGGGGAGTGACTGGGGATCGTCTCCAGTTGGAAAGAAGCAATGAGTGGAGCGTGTGATGGACTATGGGGTGCAGGGGTTGGATTTTGGATTCTCTTTGGGCTAAGGGAAAAACTGGAAATCTCAGGTTCGGGTTTTCCTCAGATGTGCCGATATGACATCTCTAATAAAATGGATCTTTGAGAAGATGACAGTCTCAGAGTCTTTTAATTTGGAGGTTGTTCCATGGAACGCTGACAGCAAGACTAGAACTCATGGTCTTCTGGTGACCGGCCCAAAGTCACTCAGCCAGCTTTGGCGGAACCAGAACTCGAAGCTCCCAACTTCTAGCCTGGCACCTTCACCACTAGACCCAAACTTGCTTAGATTTTTCTGCGGAACCTATAACTGGACCAACGTTTGAGAAGAACCTTCCGTGCTGCCCCTGTTTAAATGGTGTGCCTGACAGCTCAGGCTGCAACCCAAACACAAACGCTTTGGCTCAATCGCACTTGGGGAAAAATTATTTCTTCTCCTGAAATGCAACGCTGTGCGCAGAAGAGGTGACAGAGAGACGTACGCCGCAGCGCATGCAAAATTTGCCTTAGTGGATGTCAAGAAATCCACACCGAAGTAGGTCGCCTAACAGGTGAGGTTAGTGCTGGATTCGCCAGGCTGCAAAAACCTTGCTGAAAATTACCCAACTCAATCGCCCGCAAGTATTCCCACCTTTCCTCGTTTACTTCTGTTAATTACTATGCAAAAATCACTTCTGAGGCTGTGCCTTAATAAAGCACAAGTGTGCTTCCCCCCCCTCCCTGCCCCACCCCCTCTTACCTATGGCTTGGAAGGGAGTCTGGGATGGCCGCACTGCTATTGTTAGCAGACCCGGCTCGTGTATTTACCTGCGGGGAGAAAAAGAATCTTTATCCGCCGTTTTTATTCAGGGGACGTGGTTCTAATTAACCTGTAATTTGCCATGAATTTCCTATTTCACGAGGAAGGTTAATTAGCTAGTTGCCCATGGTAGAAACCCAGCCCGTATGTAGGTTACCACATTGTGTTGTAGAGGAACCATGTTCTTTTATTCAGCCCGCATTTGAAATGCTTGGTTAGGTAATGCAATCAAGAGCTGGCGCACAATACGGCTTTCATTCCGTCTCTATTAAATACACGTCTTCCTTCCCTCCCCAGCCCATCACCTTTTTGCACAAATATATCAATTACCTCTCTGTAATGTCACTGAAAAGATGGAGGCATGTCCTGTGCACCGTACGGAATGCCTTATTCAACCCATTAACCACAATAACAGGGCCCATAGGAGGGTCACTCCAAGGAAAGGTAACCCTAATCTCACAGCTGCTCTTACGCAGGTCGACGTCTCAGTTCGTGCCATCTTTTGTCTTTGTTTAGGGGTAATTTGGGTGGTCCAAGAGGAGCCTTTCTGCAGATCTGTCGCATCAAAAGGGGAACGCAGGACCACCTATTGCCCCAGCGTCTTCAGGGCTGATCTAAGAAACGGACTCACAAAACCCAGCTATGAAAGAAACAATGCCTCTTGCAGGCGCAAGACAGACCAGCTGGGCTCGCACCCAGGAAGGATCTGTCCTCTGCTGCAGTTTGTTCAAAAAAAAAAAAAAGAATAAACAATCTGCTTGTCAAGGCTGAGAAAGTACAGTTTTATCTGACATTTCAATAAATGGAACACAGCATTGCAAATTCATCTACGTTTACGGAAACAATTATTGAAATTCCTACCTTCAGGCCATGTATGTTCCTTTTCCCAGGAGGCTTGCAAGCTGAAACAGTAATTGACTAAATTGTAGAATACATCAACACCATTTACAAATTTGTTCAAAATGAAATCTTTTCTTTTTGTAATGAGGGCGATACAGAAATTAGCGGAGAGAAATGATCGAAAGGCATCTCCCAGGACTCTAAAGCAGAGATGATAAAATGAGATCTCTTGGACCTGTAGGAGCATATATATATATTTTTTAAACAAACAGAGCAAAGCCTCAACTTATTTATATCTTAAACGATATTAAAATGAAAGCCACAGAGAGAATCTCCTGCTCCAACTTTCAGTAACTGCACTATATGTGTCTGTGTGTGTTTTTTTCTTTTGCCCGCTTCTTTTTACAATATTTCATCTTCACATGTTTTCTGGTGACACTATATCAGGGTGGGCAGGTTAAGACATCTGCTGGAAGTTGGGTGTTTAAAACAGGAGAGCACCCCAAAGAAAAATGACCTGCATTCTGTGTTACCACACACAACCTTCTCTGGTTTTTATGTGGGAAAAGAGAAGCTGGACATTTAAAAGCAGCGTTGAGGACACCAGGAATCGGATCCAGGATAAATTTAGATGCTCTTCCTAGCTGTGCGCACAGATCTGTTGTCGGGCTGTTGTCACAGGCTTCAAGATGAACTGGAGCGAGAGGAAGAATTACATTTCCTTAACGCCCCTGGAATTTTGCTGCCCCTTTCTAACCCAACGGAGTGTTTGGGCGAATGTTAAAGCCACAAAGGCTTGCAGCGATATGTTACAGACAGTTCCCATTTTAAAACTACAGCACCCTACAAATGGTATGTTAAAGGGCCTGTCAATTTTGATTGATTGTCTGGGAAAGGGTGGATTTGATTCCTCCCACCCTTTCTCTCCCCCTCTTCTTCTGAAATATATGCATTTCACTCATGGTTATGACAGCAGGAAACAGAGCCATTTATTAGTCAAGAGGACACAGATGATAGTTATTAAACACAGCAGTTAGGACAGGCCCCGTGCAATTTAAACCACATTAAACATTGCCAGCATATCCTTAAATAAGAGATGCTGAGCTGCTGGTGGGTGCACGGAAGGAACGAAAAGAGTGGGAACGAAACACAGGAATATCATCTGATGGGAAATACAAAAATAAAAACACTAAGCTATTCCTAATTCGGGGCAAGGAGGCAGCGCGATGGCTCAGTGGTTAAGACTCTGGGCGTGTCAGCTGGGAAGCCGGCAGCCCAGGTTTGAGAACTGAGCTCCTTACGACGGGGTGAGTTTCCGTCCTCTCGTCAGCTCCTGCCTACCCCAGCAATTTGAAAGCAGGAAAATGCGAGTAGATAAACAGATAACACTGAGAAGGTAACTGTGCTCCATGACATCATGCTGGTCACATGACCGCGGGAATGTCTTTGGGGAGCACTGGCTCGAGGGTACTTGAAACAGGGATGAGCACTGTTCCTTATAGTCAGCAACGACTAGAGGGGTAAAATTTGTGGGGTCTCCCCTTATTTGGGGCGAGGGTAGCAGAAATGCTGTGGCGATGTTTATTTCTTTGGGTATAGGAATGAAAGGGGATCGATCTATAGTGGCTACAAGCATAAAGGAATTAAGCCACAAATAGAAGATGCAAAGTTCCAAGCAATGCAAAATGAGTTGTCTTTTTGAAATGCAGCGTGCTAAATTAAATAGAATAAAAATTACAGCAATCAATTGCTTAAATTAGGATCAAATTACGTGAGCGATCAGATTTATCTATGGCAGTGTTCCTCAACCTCGGCCTCTTTAAATGTGTGGACTTCAACTCCCAGAATTTCCTTACTTGTTGATATTCACCCATCTTAAAGCGGGTAAGGCTGAGAAGCATTCATGTATGCAACTGACCACCTATATATTAAGCTCTGCCTCAACAACCCCTGCAAATGTTTATTTTTTTATTTACTCGTTTATAAAATTTATCGGCCGCCCATCTTACCATAATGTTAATTCTGGGCAGCTTACAGGCATAAAAATACGCCTGCGTTAAAGCAACCAATTAAAACCAAGATTAAAATCTAGGACCTGTGGCGATGGAGGGGATGGAATGGGTGGAGATGGGATCTGTCGTTACTCGATCACCCACCCCCATTGGGGCCCCAGCAGTGTTGCTGTTAAGAGTTGCTGGTTGGCACACTCTTGTGAACAACGTCTGCTCAGTGGTGACCCCCAAGCCTCCGGAATCCTGTTCCGTTCAGGTGTTTGTGTGAAAGCTGCAGACCTTCCTTTCTGTGCCACGTGTTCTCTAACACACCTGCATGCATGAAAGCCCTTCCCCAATCGGTGCACCATGCGCTGGATAATATGCCGATTAGAGCTCTGTGTCTTCCCTTCCCTTCCCTTCTTCGTTGCTTCGGGAAAGTGTAGCCTTAAAAAAGAGATGATTATTATTAACTGCAATACAGGAGGTCCTTGACCACAGTTGAACCCAAAAACTCTGTTGCTAAGCCAGGGAGTTGTTGAGTTAGCTTCGCACCATTTTGCGACCTTTCTTGCCACGGTTGTTGACTGCAAACCGTCATAAATACATGTCAGTCACCCAGTGTCCAGATCACATGACCAGGAGGACACTGCAATGGTCTTAAGTGTATTTAGGCCAAACTGGCAACTTTTTTCAGCAGGTTGTGGGAATGCAATGGACATAATAAAATATCTTGTCTTCAACAAAGCATCGGACAAAGTGCCCCATCGTATGCCGATTAGCAAACTGATTCAGCATGGCAGGACAACTGGGTAGATGAGTAGCAGGCATGAAAATCACGCTTATCCACGGTTTCCCTTGAAATTGGAGATGGCAGTGAGTACAGCCCTGCAACAGTCTCTGTTTTTCAACAATTCCATTAATGGTTTGGATGAAGAAGGGATGCTTCTCATCTATTTACAGGTATAACAAAACTGGGTGGGACGGCCGAATGTTTTAATGTTTTATATTTCAGTTTTTACGATGTTCTATCTAAGCCACCCAGTCGCTCGACAGTGAGGTGGGCTGAATATAAAGTCAGTCAATCAGTCAAACAGCTAATACCCTAGAAGGCAGAAATAAAACTTAAAACAATCTTACTAGGTAAGAAAACGAAGAGGGGGGAAAAAAGATAATAAAAGGAAAAGCAATAAAGATAAACGCAAACTTTGCTTAAGAAACATGAATTGAACATCAGGATGTAGGATGGGGACATTTGGATTAATAATAACAAAGGTGAAAAGGACTTTGAAACTGTAGCTGACTGCAAGGCGAGGCAGAGTCAGCCGTGGGGTATGGATGCTAAAAAGGCAGATTGCGATTTGAGGCTGCCTCAACAGAAGAAGAGTCGCAATGCATGGAGAGTGGAGATCCACTTTCGATGGAGATCCTCCGTCATCCGGGTCACGGTGTCCCAAAAGTGATTTTTCAAAAGGCAACCGGACTTACTTTTGTTTTGTTTTTTTCCTGAAGACCTTTTGCTTCTCATCCGAGAGAGCAGATAGGTGGCCTCAATAGCTCTCACCAAGAGAGCTAACAACCAGATGACTGCAAGGAACGTAAAGTCTTCCGTTCTCCACCATTCAGTTAGAGTTGAAGAAGCTTCTTGGATGGGAAGTGAAATGTCTTCAAGGAAAAACAAAGGAAGTCCAGTGGCCTTTTGAAAAAAAGCACCTTTGGGATGGAAAGTAATAGTGTCAGGTCCCATTCAGAGAAACTGGTCTGGTTCAGAGAAGGGCAAAGAGAACGTCCAAGGGCCTGGAAGTTAAGAGACGAAGGGAACTGGGCAGAGGAAGAGAAGCGAAGAGGGGATACGGTGCACTTCTGTCTATAATGGCTGAAACATATTCTTTATGGTCTAGAGGGCAAGACATGTAGCAGTAGGTTCACCTTATAGGAAGGCAGATCCTAACAGGCTTTTTGGAAAATCTTCCTAATAGTCAGCCTCCAAAGTTTCTTCTTCTGCTTGACTCTTTCCGGCTGCCACAGAAATGGGGGGAATAACTGGGCCCCGTGGGGGGAAGAGTGATGGAGGTTGAAGTTGTGTGAACTGTAAAAGTTGGTATGCTTTCCTGATTAAAATGCAACCACTTATCTTTTCTAGGCCAAGGTCAACCGTCCTGGCACCCCAGATGTGTGAGACGCCACCTGAAGATGCACCCACATCACATTATGCACACCTCAGATTGGATGTCCGGTTTGAATTGTTGGGGGTGGGGACTTGGGATAGCTTTCCTAATGTGATTTTTGCGCCTTTTGCTTCAGATCTTGTATTTCTGCTGTTGCTACCGCTTTATATTCAGTAAAAGTCCTTTTCTCTATACAAATGGGGTCCAAGGATTTCTTTCTTGGATTTGGAATGGAGCCACACCTGACACTTAATAGGGAGAGCAGTATGAGGGTTTATGGGGGGTGGGAGGTAGAAGATAATCTGCACTTTACTGGGGACATCTGGATTTCTAGAAGATCCAGAGCGTTTGACTCGACCTTCTCCATAGTCCTTCCAAATCTGTGTTTAAGAAAAAGACTGGGGCAGTCTGAGGAAACAGCAACCTTGTGCGCACCTGTGAGCAAGCAATGTTTGTATGCAAGAGTGAAAGGGTCGGTGACCTATTTCTCTTCTAAATGCCTCCTTTTTCACAGAGGAGAATTCCATCTTCCAACTGCTGCCCTCTTTCTAACCCTGATCAGTTTTGCTACAGAAACCTGTTGGTTAATTGCCCAATTTAAAACAGAGAGAGTTATAAGTAATGAAAAGTCTATAATGTTTTAATTGGAAAGCTTGCGGCATGATCATTTATGCAGGGGAACAGTTTGGTTTTGAGGTATTTCAACGGATTTATTGCACGGAAATCTACTTGCATCTAATTTCAATCATCAAAAATTACGCTTCTGAAGGGAAAATATCGAAGTGCATGGAGAAAGTTACATAACATGCAAACCTATGTATGGAAAAAGGATATTATCTCCAGGTTTTACAATACTCCCATTTTTGCAATAATGGTCTCAAAAATACACCCACCCACCCAAACTAGAGTTTGGAGACTATCCGTGGCTTGGGCTTATCCCCTTGGGGGAGGCCTGTGACTACAGCTCCACTTTACTGTTAAACTTCCACATGTTGTGCGGTGCAAACAATAATTTTTGTTATTCTGGTTTGCTTTGGAAAAAGAGCTGCAGCGGCACTCAAAGAATAGATTTCCCAACCCCAACTTAAGACCAAATTGTGGAATTATCTGCCTTTGAACCGGCCTAGAAAATAGAAGACCTGATGGAACATTGGTAGGTGCTCAAGGCTGTGCAAAATTACCTCTTGGGTAGATCTGCAGGGGTACAATCAGCTGTCCGTTTCCCTGCTGCTCCATTACAGTTGTGTAATACTGAAAAAATAAGATCAGAATGGCAAGTAAGTTTGTGTATTTGGTTCAACTCACCAATTCCAGAATAGTGGTGTTAGAGGCAAAACAATGAACATAGGCTTGGAAAAGTGGCTTTTAAACATTTATCTGCTGTTTGACGCTCTCACCGGATCTTCCCTGCAGATCCTATGCCGGCATGCACACCATATATCATAAGTTTCCCTTCCCTTCCTCTGTATTTGTCTACCTTCAAAAGAGTTACCCATATGGCGACTTGGCCCCAAAATAGCAAACTCTGGACTCCGGCTAGCTTTCTTCTGTGGTTGTTGCAGCTCTCAGAGATCTCTGCTCAGCCAGGCTTTTAATGCTACGCAGGTGCTTCGAATCTGGCTTCCCTCTGCCCAGTCCAAGGCAAAGAAGAGATTTGTTCTGAGTTGCCCCGAACAACCCGATTGACTTTGGTTACGACAACAAATGCTTTCCACCAAATAGAGAGCACTGAAATCAGATTCAGACCATCCGTTATAAGATGGGTGGACCCTTTGGGTGGACCCTTCCATATCCCAACGGAAGTGTAGAAATGCACATCCAACAATCTTTGACCTTTGGCCACACTTAAAAGAGTCAACAGCAAGTACTTCTGAAAATGTGAGCCGGTAAAATACTGACCAGGACACTGCTAAGCCAAGATTAACTTGAGATACAGCTTGGGGGGGGAGGGGGGGCAATTAGGTCACGAAGACCTAAACAGGAAGACTGACAAAAAGAAAAAAGAATGGAACCCAAAGTGAAGTGTAGACATGGTCAGGGAACATCTGGCTCTTGAGTTGCCTCTAGGGAGAACCGAGCCATAGGAATAGGCTAGAATATCACTTGGTATTGACCACCTAAGTCTTCTTGAGCTGCTGGATGTCATCTTGTGGCCGGTACGGATCGTCCTTCCATGCCTTGGGAGAGGATTTGGCTGTACCCCGTTAGTTCATGGTCTTTGGGGCAACCAGGGGCCGCTCCCATGTAAACTTGGCCCTAACATATAGTGCAGATACATAGTTGACTCAACCTTCATTTTGGAGATTGAGGACACTGGTCTCTGTGCACGTATAGATAGACCAGACTAGAATAGAATTCTTTATTGGCCAAGGGTGGTTGGACACACAAGGAATTTGTCTTCGGTGCAAGTGGGTAAAGATGGGTATGAGAAATATGGGCAAAGATGCCAATCTCAAATCACTATGATGACATATTAATTTTATGCAAATATGATGCCGCAAAATAGGCCAAAGCGAAAGCAAGATTCCTACCAGTCGTATACAGAAACAATGTGAACGAGTCATGTAGAAAGCAGTCCAGTTCGGGGCTAGTTCTAGATCGCCCACGGAGAACAATTCCTAATGGTAAAAAAGTCTCCATGAGAGAGACTGGAATATCCTGCTAGAAAATATTGTGGAATTCTAGTCGTTTCCTGGAAGACCGTGCTGCAGTCCATTTGCACGGGCCCCAGAGATGAAGCCCAGCTGGTTGCAAAACTTATAAACGGAATATTTGTCTAGACGAAACATGCGATTGACCTGATTAGTTATTGTCAAAGGTTCTTTAACTGCATCTTAAAGCAGGTCTGTCCGACTTCGGCAACTTTTAACTTTGTGGACTTCAACTCCTAGAATTCCCCAGCCAGCGTGACTGCCTAGGGAATTCTGGGAGTTGAAGTCCCTAAGTCTTAAAATTGCCAAGGTTGGACGTCTCCGATCTAAAGGCAAGAGAATGCAGAACTAAATGAACTTTCAGCTGGAACTTGCAAGAAAAACCCTTCCATCTAAATCAGGCAAAACACTCTGGTTTGACCCGGGCATCTCTCACTCTGCAGAACTCTGGTTGTCTTCTCCTGCAGCATCAGCCTGGAGGCACAAAAAGAGCTGAAGACATGACATTGAGGCCGGAGGCTCAGCTTCAGGAGCAGATTCTTATACGACTCCCACTTTCCTGGGACTGACTCCAGAGAGGCTTCTGAGTAGATTTCGCTCTTTGTTTCTTTAAAATAATAATAATAAAGAAAGAATGGCCTTCTCCATTACTCAAACGGAGATGACAAGTAAATGAAATATCAATCATGTCAGCTGTCAACCTTCTGGGACAGCAATAACTGTTAACAAGTAGTCTGGAAAAATGGTCCAAAAATGATTTGTCCTCCACATCTCAGCACTTGGGGTTGCCATGGAAAGTTAAGATGCCAGGGGCTATTTGGAGCACTCTTCAGGTATTCTTTTTAATGGAAAATTTGCCAGTTATTGATCCAAAACGTGTACCCTTTGCTTCCAGATGGCTGCAAGCAACTTTCCAATCAGTGGCTGTCAAAAAAATTACTGCCTTTTTATACCTATAGAAGACAACAACTGTAAACTAGCTCTGGGGTCACTCAGTGGCTCCTTTTTTAATTAACCAAGAGTTAGACAGCGAGGCCATTTGGATTATTTTTCTATGAATAAAATGTGCAATTAATAAACCTCAGTGTCCATCTCATCAAGTTAAGTGTTTAGCGCCAGGGTGAGAGCGGGAAAGTTTAGAAGTAACTCAAGGGAGAGAAGGTTTCAATGGAAATAACCGTCTCTGACGACGGAGGGATTCCAGAATGACAACCTATCATTCATTTTTTGATTAAAAACTGACCTTACCTTTCATCTTTATAGGAATTTGCATCACAGCAACATTCTAGGAATTATTTCATTCAGGTCTGAAAACTCTTTAAGGAAATATATATTTCTTCCTAATTCAGATTATAACTTCTGAAAATGCATTCTGGTTTCATGCCACCTCTAACTGATCCCATATGAAAACGGAGAGCCCGTTTGGTCTAGTGATTAAGGCATCAGGCCAGAAAGCAGGAGATCGTGAATTACATCTTTTGCAGCAGCCGTTAAGTGAATACAGTGGTTGATCAGAACAGGTAACAGTGAAATGGTCTCCGTGAAAGATCTGGTCCGTCTGTACCTCAGTTCAGGAGGAGGAGAGTCCTATCGCTCTGCTTTACAGCGAGTCCTCACTTCATGACTGGTTGCTTAGCGAATGTTCAGAGTTATGTTGGTCCACCCCCAAAAAAACGTATCTACGTCATGGACTTGAAGTTATGACATCCAGCCCCATGGTCACACAATTGCATTTTAGGTGCTTGGCAACCGGTCCACATTTAAGGCTTTTCACAGTGTGCCAAAATCACACAACCACAAAGGTTTTTCCACTTTCCAGCAAAAAAAAGGGCACAATAGCTTTGGTTGATGACTGTGTTGCCTGCTTAATGATCTCCACAAAACTGCCTTCAAATCAGGTCAGTCACATGGTGACTCGCTTTATGACCGGCTCGACTTATGATCGTAATTCCAGGCTCAATTAGGTTGTAAGTCAAGTCTACCTATAACTGCAAAGAAATGGGAATGTCTCAACTCATACATATTTATAAAGCGTCAAGGGCGAGCCATTTATAAAGATATACATAAGCACTGCAGCCTTCCTCTCTTTGCTGTCGTTATTAAAAGACAAGACACTTTAAAATCTTCTCAGCACGCCAAGCCTGCAGCTAAAATATAACTCTTCTGAGAGAAGGGGTGAAGAAGTATCCAGATGAAAGCAGATTTTGTTTTAAAAAATTTTTTAAAGAGCCGAAGGGTTCATTTTTAATGAGCCGTTACTTTAAGTAATGCATAAAAAATAGAAATTGATAGTCCATTTAGCCTGCACTATATCTAATGCAAAAGTCTTTGGGATATGTTATTCTTAATGCTCACAACAAGATCTGTAAGTATATTATTCTTTATATGGTTATTCTTCACAACCATTCTTCATATGGTTTTCCAACAAAAGGAAATTTCATACAAAATCCCTGCTCCAACTTGTTCAACTAAGATGATAAAAATATTAAAAACACACACACACACAAATACAACAACAACAAACCAAATTCTAATGTTGGTGTCTTAATTTGGCGCTCTCACTAAAAAACGAAGTTATATGGGAGCAACGGTAACTTGGACGCTCCAGGATTCTGCACAATCACCCTTGACACACAGTCTTGTAGCTCAGTGGCCCCCAACATTTTTTGTGCTGCGGCCCGGTACCGGCATCACAAAATCATCCGTGGCCCGGTACCGGCATCAGCACGCTTGGCAAGGCGAGCCGAGCGACCGGCCAGCCAGCCATCCTCCGCTTCTCCCCGCCACCTTCAACTCCTCCTTTGTACCTGTGTCGATGGGCTTCGCAACGGCTTTGGGATGGTCGCTCGGCTCGCCTTGCCATGCGTGCTGAAAGAATCCTCGCGCCTTAGTTTCGTTCGAAGCCGCCGCCCCCCCCCTCGATGAAACTAAGGAGCGAGGATTCTTTCAGCACCCAAACGCCGCTTTCTACCCGGAAAAGCTCACCGGAAGCATTTTTTCATCAAAATAAGATGGCGGCGCCAAGCAAACCGGCGGCCCGGTAGAAATTGTTCCACGGACCGGTACCGGTCCAGGGACCGGTGGTTGGGGACCCCTGCTGTAGCTGTCTCATTCTGCAATGGGACAACTTGCTGTGGCCAACTCACCACGGGAAATTCAATAATTCAATTTAAAAAATGTGTCATTCATATCTCATTCAGTCCCTCCTTTTGCATCCTTTCTTTACTGATTCTACTCCACCGTTTCTTGATATTAGTGTAACTCTTGTCCTGTGGTGAGATGGCCATGGCAAGCTGCCCAAGAGTCTCTTTTCATTCAACTCAGCCTTCTGAGTGATGCTGGCTAGCAATCGGTAACTTAGTTAATCCGGTTTACTGAACATATATACCTACATAGGACAACATTGCTTTCATTTCTTCATCGCTGCGGACAGTAATCCGATCGCCATCTTCATCTTCATCTGCATAAAATCAAAGTCTGCGTATTAAAATTCACCAGGTTTAAAGAAAGATCACATATTCGATAGATGTCGAGGAAACTTTTGAAACGTGAACAAATGAGATCAAAGAAGATGAACACAGACCGGTTTTGCCTTAGTTTTAAGGAAGGGGGACTAGCTGGGCAGGTGGGAAGAGAGAGGACAAACCATGGAACTGAAAAGTCGTGTGAACCCGTCTAGGGTGACTTCAGATCCTCTCCAGGGACCTCAGCTTTGGGGCCAGGTCACACGATGGAAATTATCTGATGATATAATGAGGAGGGGGATTCACAACTTCTGCACACACTGCACTGGGTGCCAGGTTGCTTCTGGATCTAATTCTGGGCACTGGTTCTGATCACCTGTTCTGATCAAGGCTTCCTGAGACCGTAATTAAGCAGACGCTTAGTCCAAACAACCCTCTTTTTATTTCAATGGCTGGGAATTACATTCATTCCCAGCCCGTAATGAGTCCCAAACAGTCCCTCGAGATAAGCACCCACCTTTCTCTCCTTTGAATTGCTGCCAACAACTAAAGGGCCAAATGAAATGTAAAAAACCCAACCAAAGTACAAAGTCCACACAGAGCTTCAAGGTTTAATCTGAACAGAGCGAACGACTTTGCTTCCTGCAAAGGTTTCTCTACCTTTGCACTTCCTTTATCCTTTATGGGAGGGGCAATCACCTCCCAGCCTTACTCCTGAGTCGCCCCTTTTGTCTCAGCTGCTCTTGCCTTCTAGCAGCTCTATGCACACGTGCACTGGGAACAGGCTCCCGCTGTTCCTCTGCCTCGCTGCTGCCAGACTCTGGAGGCTCTGGAGGCAGCACCCCACTCCCAGATGGCCCTGGCCCCATCTCTCCATTGATCACAGGACCCGCGTCCGAGTCCTCCCCAGACTCCCGGACTGATCCCTGTTCTTCCCCACTGACCGATTCCGCTGCTGTCTGCACAGGCTGCCGTCAAACCACAACATCACCTTTAAAACCCTACCTTTGGAACCGTCTTCGTTCCATTACCTTGGCCCATCCCAGAGGGTCAGACAGGGAAGGTATGTTGCAAACCCCATCAATTCTGACTGGCAGGTCTAAGAAGAGAATCTTCTCTGCCCCTCCCTCCCTGGAACACTGTCCGTCCATCTCCCAGGAGCGAGGTGAGCCCCTAATTTCCTGGTCCTATCCTGAAAATCTGGCTCTCCCATCTCGCTTGGGGCCCACAGAGGAACAGGCAGCCATGGGGCCAGCTAACCCTCTGAAGCCCTTCCTCTGCTTTTTACATTTTTATTTTATTCTCTTTAACTGCCTATTATAATGTTTATATGTAGCTCTTATATTTTGATGCTTACTTGTACGCTGCCCAGAATCACCCTATGAGAGAGATTGGCAGTTTCTACATGTGATAAACAAAGTAAGTAAGTTCAGGCCATACCCCTCCCTGGCCCTGGTGCAGGCATCTTGCACTGTCAAAATTTAGCTTATGCTCCTTAAGGGTTTACGTTACTCTCTAAAGTCGATCTACACAGAGGTTGGCGTAAGGACACCACCGCTGTAGGTAGAAGATCTCCTAGGGCAGGGGTGTCAAACTCAAAGCCCGCAGGTCGGATCCAATCCGCTGACTGCTTAGAACTGGTCCACGGGGCCTCACCGGAAACAGTGAAGGACTGGCCTGCGGTGTCTCTGCCAGCGAAAAAAGGTTCCTGAGCTCCATTTCCGGCTGCGACGGCCTCCTAATACCCTTTGCAGGAGGCCGTCACAGCCGAAAACGGAGCTCGGGAGCCTGTCTTCACTGGCAGAGGGTTGTAAGAGGCCTTTGCAGCCAAAAACGGAGCTTGGGAGCCCATTTTCACTGGCAGAGCGCTCAGGCCACCACAGACGCCGACACTAATGACATTAAGTTGGCCATGCCCCCCCCCAGCCCTCCCCTCGAGATCAAACACAACCCTGATGCGTCAACCCTCAACGAAATCAAGTTTGACACCCCTGTCCTAGAGGCAAACTAAGTGATTCACTCAAGTCTCGGTTCCGTCACTGTCTTTGTCTCCCCAAAGAGGAGAATAAGGCCTCTCACTTCATAAGCAAATATAATTCTTGTATCAACCAGTAGAAGTCATTAGAATAGTAACAGCTAAGAAAATTCTAAACTCCATCTGATTTTAAATGGAGGGGGGAAAAAAACAGCTAATAAAAAAAAAAAACCAGAATAATCAAGAGAATAGGAGGAATTTAAAACAAGACACCTGGAAGGAGTCTTTTTGCAGTAAAAAGGCCATGATTTGCAAAGCTCCCAAATAAATGCCACTGAAAAAAGCACCTCATTACAGAAGATTAGCTCTAAAAGCTACCCAACTTTGGAAATTCTCAGGTGGAGCCGAAGTATCTTTCTGTTCTTACGGGAGGCACATTTGGGGATAAAGCAAGCTGTGGAACAGCCGCGGCGGCTCCCTAAAAGAGACGAGCGTCGTTCCTTGTTGGATGGGAGGGAAATGGGCTCCTTCAGGTAGTGTATTTCTCTGGCTCAAGTATAGGGACGTTGCTCACCCGTCCCGCCGGGAGGAATCCACGGAGCGGTTCTGCAGAAGGCGAAGGTTCAAAGGGGGTTTAACCGAGCCCCTCTCCTTGCCTAGAGCGCAAACAACACGATCTTCCAGTCCATTAGGGAAGCAAAAGTAGAACTCAATAAAGCCCGGATTTTTTGCTAATGTCACCTCCTCGCAAGACACCGAAGAGAAAGCAGCAGATGGCAACCAAATATTTCCACAGCAATTTTTGCAAAATACGCAGTATGCCGGGCACACACAAAACGGTTTGGGATGAAAGGACCATAACGAGCCATATGTCGTTAGTTGTTTTATTTGTAGCAACATGGCGTACAACAAGGTCCAATGGCAACGGAGAATACAGCCCCAGGTAGAGGCAGCCACAGAAGACACACCGGAGATAGCAATAACTAAGCAAACAGGAGAGGAAGCCGCTGCGGATAGCAATTAACTGCCTCCAAGAAAGCCATCAAGTAGCTGAGAAGATACTTAAGCCAGGGAAATTTCAGGCTCTCATTAGGGAGAAGATAACCTAGAAACCAAACGGCATCCATACACATTAACATATTTTTTGACGCACTTAAGTGGCAGGAGAAACAATGTCGTGCTGATGCAAAATGACAGGCTAATTCGAGAACCAGAAAGCACAGCAGCAGATGTTGTGAGCGAAGCCATGATGAAACCCGTAACTCCTGAGAGCAGGTTCTGCCCAGGACTGCAACCCATGCTGGTTACTGGTACAGAAATGTCAGCTGAGGGGCAAAGGGCAGCGGGGAAGATGGGGCTGGCCTAGCAGGCCGTGCTGAGAGTCCGGCCGCCCTCAACTCTATAACCCCGTATCTGGGGAGTGGTGCCCAAAATGGTCCCATTATAGACACTGTTTTGGTACGATGATCTCATAAGACAGCCCATCTAAAATCAAAGGTGTATAAAACAGGTGTATGGCACTGGACGAATACACGGAGTGCTTTTTAGATGCCATGGAGGTGTTTCCCTTGACCATGTCAGCAATGACCCAATACAGCGGCCTACTGGGCATTGCACCAAATGCGGGAGAAGCGCCTAGAGCGGCCTGGCAACGTCCTACGAGCAGCACCCCACACCGGTGCCTTCCACTTTAACGCAGATGTCAAGCGCCCGAGGGGAAGGACCAAGCAAAGATGGCAAGACACAATAAATGCAGACGTGACCTGGAGGCTGTGTCTGATCATGGGAGATGGCCTTCATCAATCCCAAAAGCGCACCTTGCACCTGTGGGTGCTTGGAAGATGATGAAGGACTTGTAAGACGGAGGAGGAGAGGAGAGGAGAAGAAAATTGCTAAACAATAGAACAGAACACAGCAGAGCAGAACAGAATTCTTTATTGGTCAAGTGTGATAGGCACACCCAAGGAATTTGTCTCCAGTGCATAAGCTCTCAGTGCACATACAAACAACAAAGTGATGGGTTATCGATCAGAAATCATAGTTACACTCATTCATCATAAGATGCATTCAAGAAGTAATTAAATCCTAAGACACCAATAGGAGAAGATAATAGAGAAGATGAGAAAAGATAATAACAATACAGCCTATTCACAGGCCAGCATTGTTCCCGCATAATAAAAATGGCGAGGGAGAGGTCTTCTCCAGTGTGAAAGGACCCTAAGCTTAATGCTCCGAGGTACTGAACTGCAGGCATCTTCCAGGGTCTGGCCCCAGGGAAGTCCAGGTTAAGCCTTCTGAATCCTGAGCTGCCCTCCAACCTTCTCCCATGAAGACAATGGCCAGGTGATGAGTTCCCTACCTCCAGAGAAGGTAACAAGTCCATAACCAATTTAGTACCGTATTGACAAAGAAGGTCGGATTCCCACAAACAGAGATTCCTGCTTTTAATCCTACAAATCTGAAAATTAAAATCTCAACAGATGAAGCCTCCAGGTACTTTATATTTTTCATTTAATTTGAGCAATATAATTGCAGTGCGTCCAAAGAGCACAGTGAGGTCAGGATGGTAATTAAAGCTATACGGTAGAAATATGTGCTCTCAAGATGTGATTAAATAATAAAATATTACTTAGCTAAAGTTTATCATTAAACTTGCATTGGTGCATAAATATTTAACTGTGCGATATCTGAACATAAACCAAGATGTAGTTGTCACTGTTTTAAATAAATGATGCAAGAATAAACTGCCTCGCTCCCATCTCCCGGGCAAGCAATACTCACATTCAAAAGCTGTTGTGGTTGCATCAGGAAGAACCTGACTGATCACGTCCTGTAACATTAAAAATGAAGGCTGTTAGTTATATTCGTAACGGAAGACTTTTTACAGAATAATTAATATTCAGCTTTGCCTAGCATGTTAACTCGGGCAACTGAAGGAAGAAGTGACGCCTCACATATTTCATACTTGGAAGAGACCCTCGTGTAGGATTGAAAAATGCCTCTCTTTACCACCCAGAGTTGTTACTCGGCTGATGTGGAGCAGCAGCTCCCAGGGGGGTGTTTGCAAACTCCGCTCATTTGCCTATCGCGCAGTTTTCACCTGACGTAGGCGACTGCTGGCTGGGAAAACTCCAGTCTTTGTCCTAAACTCTCTTGTTTCTCTAAAGCTTTATGACTTAAAGACTTTAACTCCCAGAATTCCTAAGCTGGCCATGCGGGCTCAGGAATTCTGGGAGTTGACGTCCACAAGTCAGGGCCATAGCTCTCCACCTCTGCTCTAAGGTAAGATGGAAAGAAGGAGAACTCTATGGTCTTTTCCATTCATTGGCCTTTGCCTCTCTAGGCAGCACTTTCAACTTTCAGGCGGGTGGACCTCGGAATTCTGGGATCTGAGGTCCACCCATCCTAAAGGTGCTGAGGTTGAATGCTCTACTCCAATGTCCATTGCGCTTCTGCATTCAGCCAAGTTTGGAGATGCCAACAGGGTGTCAGACTCGGGTTTCATTGAGGGCCGCATCAGGGTTGCGTTCAACCGGGGGTGGGGGGGATGAGCGCAGCCAGCTTGACGTCACTCATGTCGGGGGCACCTGTGGTGGCCAGAGCACTCTGCCAGAGAAAACGAGCTCCTGAGCACCGTTTTTGGCTACAATGTCCTCCTGCAACCCTCTGCCAGCGAAAACATTTTTGCTGGCAGAGGCACCATGGCCAATCCTTTGCTGTTTCCAGGGCAGCCCCATGGGTCAACTCCTAAAATATTTCTATGGTCTTTTTGGAGTTGCCAACAGAATGAGAGGGGGGAGCAGTGTGGCAGCTTGCACACCGAAACTGCATTCCATAAATGTTTTCAAAGATAGTTTCTAGGTGACTGAAGTTTCTGCCGCGCAAAATTCTAATTGAAGAATATGATTGATGACTCTTGGCTATGGAGGTGTCCCATTGGAGAATATGAATTGTGATACACCCAGGGGGTGGGGGAAACCAGGGTCAAAGGTGGCAGTGGATGATGTGTCTCAGAGTTGGCTGCACCCAGGTAGTGACGGACAGTTTAACTCCTAATAAATCCTTTTGAAGTTTGGCTCAAGACTCATGATTTAATTGGGGTAACTGCTGGAATCCTGACAATGCGGGCCAGATCTAAGCACCCTGGGGGCTGGATCCAGTCCCCAGGGCTTGAGTTTGAAACCCCTGTGCCAAATGCTTTCCAGAAATGGGTCGCCCTTTGAGAAAGCATCGCACCAGCTACTTTAAACACTCACTTTATCAGTGAGATGGGTGGCATATAAATACATGGATACATGCATACAATATCTAACAGCCTTCCAATGCAATATTAAAGGTCCAGTTCAGGTAGTCTTTGACTTATAACCATTCACTTAGAGACTGTTCAAAGATACAACGGCGTTGAAAAAAACCCTTGCACTTATAACCACTGCAGCATCCCCATGGTTACAACGATCAAAATTTGGACACGTGTATTCATGATAGTTGCAGCATCCTGGATCGCATGATTGCCATTTGTGACCACCCCAGCTGGCTTCCAACAAGCAAATTCAACGGGGGAAACTGGATTTGCTTAATGACCCTGTGATTTACTTAACGACTGCTGCGATCTGCTTAACCACCATGACAAAAAAAAAAGGTTATAAAATTGGGTGTTAGCAATGGAAATTCTAGTTGTAGTTATTAATTTGAGGACTTCCTGGATTGTCAATCTGAAGTTAATTTCAACAAGGAAATTAGCTGCTGCACTTAAAGTGACGGTTTTAATGAGTAACCCAAGATGGCATTATTGCTCTGACAATATGAACCTGAAATGGCTGTGGAGGAAATCACCTTGAGCTCACAACCGATGTTCATTTGATCATGTTAAACCAATAACAGATGAAAATGTGTAGATATGTGTAATAGAAGTAACAACGAAATTTCAGAACCAACACATACATGTGTATGCTTCCCTCAAACTACTTTCAATGTTATCCTAATTGTGGAAAAGGAATGAGAATAGACAAGAAAAAAGAAAAGGAATATAACTAACTCTGGTTGACATCGATTCTGTTAATTATACCTCTCCCCAGCTTTCCAAATTACCACATATGTAAATTACTCAGGAGCCAACTTTGGCTGGAGAATTCTGGGAGAATTCTGGGAGTTGAAGTCCACAAGTATTTTTATTTATATATGTGTGTGTGTATGTGTGTGTATGTATGTGTGTGTGTGTGTGTGTATGTGTATACAAAATTACGTCTTGTTTTACAGGCCTTGTGTACCCCATCTCCACCCCTTTCTACTGACACCCAATTCTCTCTTCCATAAGCACCTCATAGACACAGCCTTTTTGATATTCATTCACCTGCTGTTGTCTTTCAACATTTACAATATCTATGACTTGCCAAGTAGTCACTCCATTTTCCTTCTCAAACACAACTGTCTGTTCTGACCAAGGCTTCCAAGACTGTAATTATGCACCTGCTTATTTAAAACAACTCTTGTTTTATTTCAACGCTGGGAATTACGTTCATTCCCAGCCCGTAATGAGTCCCAAACAGTCCCTCGAGATAAGCACCCACCTTTCTCTCCTTTGAATGGCTGCCAACAATCAAAGTGCCAAATGAACTGTAAAAAACCAACCGAAGTACAAAGTCCACGCAGAGCTTCAAGGTTGAATCCGAATAGAGCAAACAACTTTGCTTCCTGCAAAGGTTTCTTTACCTTTGCACAGGCTGCCGGAGAACCACAACACTGTTGATCTTTGACGTACTTATTTTCAGGTTCCTTCTTCCTACATTGTATAGCCTACAATCTAACATTCAGAGTCTCAGCCAACAAGGCATTGCCATAGACTCACTTTCACATCCACAGCCAATCTGTCTCTAACATCACAGCAATGATCGCTATAGCATTTATCTATAAATATGTGAAGTAACCGAGGGGAGTATCATGTATCTTTGTCTTACCTCCTACTAAACAATTGTCTCGTCATTCTAGTTACAGGTAGTCCTTGACCAACAACAGTTCATTTAGTGACCATTCAAGGTAACAACAGCATTGGAAAAAGTGAATTATGATCGTTTTTCACACAACCACTGTAGCATCCTTGTGGCCATGTGGTTAAAATTCAGCCGCTTGGCAACTGACTCATATTTATAATGGCTGCAATATCACCTTTGTGATCACCTTTTGCGAACTTCTAATAAGCAAAGTCAGAAGGGAAATCCGATTCACTTAATAACGGTGTTGCTAGCTTAACAACTGCAATGGTTCACTTAACACAAGGGTCTTCCAACTTGACAGCTTTAAGACTTGTGGACTTCAACTCCCAGAATTCCTGAACTAACATGACTGGAGGAGGAGGGATTCTGGGAGCTGAAGTCCACAAGTCTTAAAGCTGTCAAGTTGGAAGAGCCCTGACTTAACAACTATGGCAAGAAAGGTCTTAAGATGGGGCAAAACTCACTTAACAAATATCTTACTTAGCAACAGAAATTTTGGGCTCAATGTTGGTGATAAGTAGAGGACTACCTGTATTTTCCCCCATGCTTTCTCGTCCTATCATATTCAATAATGAACAATCAATTCCACATCGGTACAAAACGGTCCATAATTCAATCTTATTTTGATTACAAAATGCATTGCCCACATCAACAAATGTGTCATATGCGTCCTTATATTCATTCATTTCTCAAAGATGGCTGAAAATCTGGTTTTAACATATACACACACACACACACATATATATATATATATATATACACACATATACATACGCACACACACATATATACATATACATCTATCTATATATCTATGTATGTATGTATATGTATATATATATATATCTATGTGTATTTATATGTGTGTGTATGTGTGCGTATGTATGTATATATATATATACACACACACACACACACATATACATATACATACATACACACACATGTATATACATATACATACATACATAGGCACACACATATATACATATACATACATATATCTATCTATATGTATATGTATATATCTATATCTATGGATATGTGTATGTATGCATATATATATATATATATATATATATATATATATATATATA